TTGAAACAAATCCTCTTGAAACCATGGTTAGTGAACCTGGCTCATGTCAGTGAATCATAGTTAACATTAAACCACAGTTTGTGTTTTGGACATAAGGAGAAACACAATAAAATGCAAACAGAAACAAAAATATGTTTTCCTCCATCAGTTTCAAATGCCGACATGAGAAGTAAAGGGTGATCATAAGCCCAACACTACATGCAAACCAAGTCACTGAACACTATTCTTTGTGGCCTCTGTGATTGCACACAATTGGGTTAAACAGCGCCTACGCTGGCTTTCTCGGAATCTTCTAGAGCTTTTCTGAAAAAGTAACAAAGTTTAGAATGCCCCTACCACGCATGCTCCATCCCCTTCAGCCTCCAGTTCCATTTTTACCGCCATCATGCTAGGAACTTCTCGGATAGAGCTCTCAGTATATTTCTGACTTTCGAATTTTGGCTGACTCTGACTGTTTAATTCGGTCAAGAAATTTATCTGTTGCCCCTTGAAATCGGACCGGCTTTGACTATTCTTTGCTTTACGGACTTGTTTCTTACCTTGGCCTTTGGTCCTGCTCTTTGTGGATTCTGTAATCAGTGTGTTGATTGGCGCCGCAGGGAGTACTTTAGCCTCTTTAGTGCTGTTTACCTAGGAAATTGACGGTATCCGCTGTGGGTATTCAGCCTCTATTTATCTGATTTATATCCCGTTCAGGGCCATTTAGCAGGTGCAAGTTGTGTTCCCGAAAACTTCCATTCTCAGACGGCCACGACCTCTGCCTTTTCTGCTTGGGGGACTCTTATCTGTGAGACAAAACCCTGTCTGCTTCTAAACCGTTGAACATGGAAACCACTTCTAATCCCTCGGCTGCACCCCGATCAAAAACTAATATTTCATCTCCCTCTAATTCGGTAACTAAACCTGCTACAAAACTGCCGAAAAAGGCTTCTGCAGCCACTTCAAAGAAAGTCTCATCTTCTATGTCGAAAACTCCATCTACTAAAGAATCATCAAAGCCGAAAAAGACAGCTACTCAAACTAAGGACAAGCCAAAAGACCATAACTCTATCCCACCTGTTACGCCTTCCTTGCCATCTCCGATCCTTGAGGACTCCTCTCGAGATTGTAAGTCACTGTCTGAGGCTGCTCCATCATTGCCGCCTTGACAACATGCCTGGTCACCGGTCGGTCCCGAGCATTCTCTGAGCCCAACCAGGATCGAAGGGGCTGCCCTTTCCAGACCACCTTCTGCCCATCATAGCCCTGTTTCCACCGGGTGAGCGTCACTGGCACCTTTATCACCTTCTTTGTCATCAAGTAAAGATTCTCCACCTCGCAAGAAGATGACTAAGAGAAAGCACATTTCTCCTGACTGGCGTCGATCTTCTCGGAAAGAGGTGACAATCCCAATTAAGTCTACTCGACGTCGTAAAAAAGCATAGACACGATTATAAAGATTATGTCGAGGTTGACAGGAAAGATCCAGGCATCGATGCTGACACTACGACACCGACTCTGACTCATCTTCGGAAGAATACCATAGACACAGGAGGGCGCGTTATGATTCTTCATCCACTTCGGCGTCATCCTCTCCTTCACCACCTCGACATCAACATCGCCACAATGCCAATAAAACTCTGCGAGCTAACGACACTTTAAAGGCATCCCGTAAACATGCCTCAACGTCGAGATCGGCATTGAAACTCGTCATGCTGAACAGCACTTACATACTCAGCAACCATCAACAGGTCATTCTAGTCAGAAAAGGAAGGACACCCAATCACTTCCTTCAGATCAGGAGGAAATTCTTTCTTGTGTTTCCTCCGACCAAGGGGATGAACTATTCTCCCCAGCTCAAGCAGATTCACCTACGGAGGCGGAATCTTTCAAGTCAGACATAGCCAACGGGTTTTATTCTCGGTACTTTGCAGTGCCAAAGAAGGATGGAGGAATAAGACCCATTTTAGATCTGAGGGACCTGAACACCTACCTGCATCCACGGCACTTCAGGATGGTCACGCTGGAGTCCATCATCTACCTGCTAAAGAGAAAAGACTGGTTTGTGGTGATAGACCTCAAGGACGCATACTTTCACATATCAATACACCAACGTCACAGAAAATTCCTACGGTTCATATTCAAAAACAGAATTTTCCAGTTCTGCACTTTACCTTTCGGCCTCTCCACAGCTCCACGCACATTCACAAAGTGCATGGCGCCAATAGCTGCATTCCTGCATCTCCAAGGAGTAAAAGTCTTTCCCTACATAGACAATTGGCTAATAGCATCCACATCCAGAAGGTAGGCCTTATGAAACACAAATTTCACTCTACAAGTGCTGCAAAGCTTAGGTTTCACAATAAATTTCGAGAAGTCCACACTAGTACCATCTCACATCATCAACTACATAGGAGCAAGGCTGAATTCCCTAGAAGCAAGAGTGTTTCTGCCACCAGAACGCATTCAAAAGCTTAAAAAGGCTGTCCACAAGTTAAAGCCTCACTCTCTTGTTTCAGCACATCATGCTCAACACCTACTTGGCCTCATGGCCTCAACAACAGTGGCGCTTCCACACGAACGACTGAAAATGCGCTCCCTACAAGCATGGTTACTGCATCTGTTCGGCCCTCTTCGAGATGACCCAGGGGAAAAGCTTCTAGTCACTTCAGAACTAGCATGCCAGCTACGGTGGTGGGTCTTCACACATCTCATGATGGGCCGTCCTTTTTGCCCCCTGGAACTATCTGTTCAGATCACAACAGAACACCAGCCCCACTCTCTGGGAGATGGATTCATGATTCTGTGGCAAGCGAGCATACTATGCCTGTTGCCGCCAGTTCCTCTGATTTAAAGGACTGTGGTCAAGTTGAAGCAGGAGCGAGCACAGGCCATCTTCATTGCACCATGTTGACCACATCAACCGTGGTTCTCCACCCTCAAAGAGATGGCTGTGGATGTGTTCAGACTTCCACTACTACCACATCTGTTGACTCAGAACTCAGGCAACATTCTGCACCCAGATCTGCAGTCTCTCCACCTCACGGCTTGGAGGATTTGCCGTCAAAGAGGTATTAGAAAAAGCTAGAAAGCTATCTACTAACCTTCTTTATAAGTCTAAATGGAACGACGTCCTCAAGTTCACAGAATCAAGACATTTACAGGCATCTCCTGTTTCCTTCCAAACATTACTGATATACCTACGTTATCTATTTGATTCAGGACTGGCTTTATCCATTCTCAAAGTCTATATTTCAGCTATAGTCTCCTTCCAACCCAGAGATTCTGAATCATCACGCCTCTTTTCCAATCCAACACTGAAATCATTCCTGAAAGGACTTGCTAATATCCGTCCTGCTACTAGATCTCCAGTGCCCCAATGGTCTCTCACACTGGTACTACATTCACTTACTCGGCATCCCTTTGAAACCGTGGCTTCATGTGATATACGGTTACTGTTGTTTAAAACGTTATTACTAGTTGCTATTACGTCTGCTAGAAGAGCAAGTGAGTTGGCTGCTCTAAGGTCAGATGCCCCTTACTTGCAATTCTTCAAGGACAAAGTTATGTTATACCCAGATATTTCCTTTTTACCCAGATTTGTTTCAGACTTTCATCTTAACCAACCTCTCTCCCTGCCAACCTTGTTTCCTGAACCATCTTCTGACATTGAACGCATGCTTCATTCCTTAGACGTCTGAAGAGCATTGACATATTACATCTCTAGAACTAAAGACTTCCGTGCTGCTCAAAAACCCTTTCTGTGTTTTCATGGACCTTACAAGGTTTCACCGGCTTCATCTTCTACCATTTTTAGGTGGCTTGTCTCTACCATTGCTCTAGCCTACGAACTGCAGGGCAAAACAGTACCAGTAGGTCTGAAAGATCATTCTACAAGGGCTATGGCGACACCCACTGCCTGGCTGCGTGGTGTGGACATCCATGACATCTGCAAAGCAGCCACATGGTCTACTGTGTCCACATTTATAACACACTATAGACTTGACCTTTGGACTAAAACAGAGACAAAGTTTGGAAGGGCTGTTTTGACATCTGTTCCACAGTGACGGCCCTCCTTCCGTTAAGTGAGCTTGCCAGTCACCCAAATGTGTGCATTCACAAAGGCCACGAAGAAAGACAGGTTACTTACCTGTAACCATGGTTCTTCAAGTGGACCTCTGTGAATTAAGACATCCCACCCAGCCTCCCCACTATCCGTCACTACTCATGCATATGCCGAGCTCAGGCTCTGGTGGAGGATAAAATGGAACTGGAGGCTGAGGGGGATGGAGCATGCGTGGCAGGGGCATTCTAAACTTTGTTACTTTTTCAGAAAAGCTCTAGAAGATTCCAAGAAAGCCAGTGCAGGCGCTGTTTAACCCAAATGTGTGAATTCACAGAGGTCCACTTGAAGAACCATGGTTACAGGTAAGTAACCTGTCTATTTTTTGCTGAGGTTAAAGCCTTGTGTAGAGCAGAACTCCATCTGTGCGCTGGAGCTACAATGAGAATTTGCCAGATCATTCAAGCAGGAGATAATGACTTAAAAAAAAGATTTAGAAACAAATGGTTACTTGTACAAAATCCTATTCGTATGTCAAACATGATCTATTTACACTAAGCAGAATGACTGATCAACCTTAACCTATAGGAACAAACCATTCACTTTTAAAAATCAGTCTCATGCTGGCCGTTTAGTTTCATGCATAATTAAAGCAATGAATAAATGAAAACTGAATAAACTTTATTGCCTCTTCAAAGTCAATTACTGCTCATTTACTCAGTCTGCTTTATATTTTTTTAAAAAAACCTTGCCCTAATGCACTGAACATGGGTGAGAATATTTTGTGCATTCCATATGCTTTTATTCCTAAAATTAAGATACGGGAGTAGAGTCTGACATATTAAAATCACTCTTTAAGTAGCAAGGCAAATTATACTATAGGTAAAACATTCCATTCAACAAACACTGATTTCCAGTTGAGTTTTATAGATAAGATGAAGGCCATCTTTTTTTTTTTATTAACCAATATATTTAATACTAGCTCATCTAATCCACGCCGCAAGTGAATCTAAGTATATACAATAGGACCCTGTATCTGTGGGGGAGCAGTCCCCCAGAGTACCATGGTGCCTGAAACCACTAGAAAGGGGACCCTTATATACAACGTACAAGACACAAGGGGGCACCTTTGTATTTTGCAGCAAATCTTAGATAAGTAAAACCGCAGATACTGATCCCACAGATACAGGGGTCATTAATCCTGTTTAGCAATCCATTGTCGATTATTCTGGTTTGAATAAGGGGTTGGTAGACTGGCATCCAGTAAAAGAACCCCATTCAATTTTCATTATATCAATAAATCTTTTTGATATCACAAACTATCTGTTAATAGTCTTCTTAAGTTTCTGACAAAAAATGGTGGGAAAAACTACTGGATTTTTTTGGTGTCAAAATACTTGTCAGCTTTGTTATCATATTGACTGCAAATTTCTGAGTTACACATAAGCTTGGAAACAGCTTCTTCCTTCATTCTTAGTACAGACCTGCCTGCCTGGGATTTTATTTGGTTTTTCATGGATCTTAGATTTCTGGTAACTAAAATAGTTCGCCCATTCCTACTTTAAATAATTTCAAAGCCACTTTTACTGTTTAGGGTAATCAAAAGAGCTCCTTATAGGGTAAATTGGCAATAGTCCAGTGAACTTTGCATTTTTTATAATTGATTCCTATCCCATAAAAGTAGAACTGTGTCAAAAATTCTAGCTGAAATCCTGTTGCACAGCTTCACCTGCAAAACATCATTGGCAGAATCGCACTGTCATGGATTAAAGGCTTCTTTTGCAATTTTGGGGTGCACATGGCTTGTATACAATGAGATGAAGTTGTGTGTATCTCAAAATCACAAAAGGAAGCCTTTAATCTATCACTGCCAATATTATTTCCATTGCAGGATAGAGCTTTCCCAACAGGATTTTACACATTTTTTTCAAGAACAATTTCCCATATAGTGGACCAGGTAGGAAGAGGTATTTTTCAAGAACAGCATGGCTTAAAGACACCTTGGATTCTGTGGTTTCAATTATTTGAATCTATGCCTATTTTCATCATTTGTTTATTATGAGCACTCTGTTGTAGGTGTTTATACTACATTCCTTTTAACTTCTGTGCAGAAATGCTAATGCATTATATAAACATTTCATTATTGAACACTGTTAAGTAAATTGTAATTTCCATGCATTAAGAGCACATGTTTTCATATGGAAATAATAAAATCCAAATACATTTGTGCTGCTTTATTTGCTATGTTGTATAATCTATCATTACAACCCATTTCTTCTTTCACACACCATAAAGCTTAATGAAATATCAACATGTTTGGGGAAGATTATTTGGGTCACTTATATACTCTTTAAAAATACACAACTATTGAATATTTACATAATGGCAAAAATTCAATGAAAAAGAGAGAAACACTACAAAAACAAAGAAATGTACTTAACAAATTTATTTCAAAGCAGGACTGGGCAACTGGGGCTTTCCAGATGTTGCTGGACTCCAAATCCCATGGTCCCTAACTGACATTGCTGATTAAGGCTGATAGGAGGAGCTATAGAACAAAGAAAACATCTGCCGGGCCACAATTGCCCACCTCTATTTGAAAGCAGAATCCTATTCTAGGCACCAGGAAAGGCACTCAATGGAATACCAGCACAAGTCACCTCCGCTGTAGATAATTCACAAGTAAGGAATTATTACAGATTACCATTCAGCTCTTCCTGAAACAAGAGATGTAAAGTAGCAAAGAATTCAAAAACTGGCTGTCCATAGAGGAAAAATAAATGACTATTTAGCTACCAATGGTCTTTTCATAATATGATATGTCTGTTAATTAACAGACTAATGATGTATTCTTTATTCCAGTGCAATGAAGGCATCCAGTTACTTTAATATTTTAAAGTGACAGCAAAAAGGTTTTCAAGTCCCCTTTATCATGTTTTTTATCTTCAAGGCGAAGCAGTTTTTTCAACTGAATGAAGTGGGATTTGGTACTTTTTGGAGTTCTGGAGGAAGAACGAGGTGTTGATAGTCTAGATGTGGAAAGCCTGAAAAGAAAGATTAAACAAAATGAGTCCTTTTACTATAAATCAGTGTTGTAACATCTGTAAACCTCATTATGTGCAAAACCAACTCAGATAAGAAACACTGTATATTTTAAAGAATACACTTTTCTAGCTAGTGACCATCTTTCCTGCTTGATATATTCATAATCCGGAATTCAGCCTGAAAATGTTACATCACCCCTCAATCAGAGAACACAGTCTCACTTACTCAGTCATTATTGAATCCGGCATTGTCAATATGGTTAAAGAGGCTAGCCTCTGTCATTTGCTTTTTCTATCTAAGCAGCAACAACTCTGAAGAGGAGAGGTCTGCTGAGTCTGATGATGTCGCATCTGTTCTTCATTGTGCAAGTACTCTCTCTCCTATAGAATGCTAGTTCTTTGACCTGGCCTCTGTGCGTCACACCTATGAGTGATGCACCTGTACAGAACCACCTTCTGCTAGGAACCTCACCTTTCCATTATGTTTACTTAAGCACTCTTGTGCCTGTTCCCTCTGTTCCTCTTCATCTGCCCTGCAAGCAGCTTTGTGGAACTGGTTTTCTTTCAGTAATCTCACAGGAAATGAAACAGTCCTAGAACATTGCTTTCTTTTAAGTTTTGGTTTATTTCTTCCCACCCTCTATGTCATGAAACAAAACAAAACAAAAACTTTAATTATCAAATGGCCTTAAAGACCGCGTTTGGAAAGTGTTCTATAGGCAGAAGCAAAATTTCTCCATCTGTTACAACCTTTGCCTGTTGTGTCTTGATGAAGAGCGCAATGCCCTGCCCTGTTTGTTGAGCTTTTACACCTCAGGCCAAAAGGAAAGGCCTAAATCCACTTGAGAGCACACAGGTGGAAAAATACCCTTCAGACCACAGGTACATTGAGAAGGGCCCATTTGGTCCCCCATCACAACACAATAGCAAGGTTCAGCCACCTCCTCTAGTGTTGCTCAGCTGCACTTGGGCCCCCTTCATTTCTGACTACCTAGTCTGCACCGTCTTCAAATCCAATCACCATTTTTAGTTCTATTTTGGATATGCTGGGGGGAAAATAAAGATGTTGCCAATGAGCCCAGGAAAGTTGATTTCTTTGCCTAGTAAGATGGGTGATATCCTGAATGTGCAGGCATTTCGCTCCTCTGACAAGTCTGCTTTACGTGTTGTTTATTTACATTGGAAAGGGGGAAATACCTGGGACTGGATGATGGTGTTGCTCTTTTCAATCCAGAATGATTGTGGCTGACAGGAGTAGTTTTTTTTGAAGATGGAGTCAAGTCTGGTGTTTTCATACTGAAATATTCTCTACTTTCTCCATTATGCCTTGCTGTTTTTCCACACACATTGCAAGTGATTAGCTACAGATAGAAAAAAAAGTCTAGTATCGATTTTCTACTTCTTTGAAACATACAAAGTAGCTACAGCTACTATGATGCAAACACTCTGAACAACAATTCAAAATTTTCAGGAAGTAAGCACATATTGCAATCCACAAACTGCAAGCCCTCTTGGATGAAACAGACACCCTGGATCCATTCCAGTCGGGCTTCAGGCCGCGCCATGGTACAGAGACGGCATTGGTCGCCCTGTGTGATGACCTATTGAGGGAGGCCGACAGCGGCAAAGTGTCTCTGTTGGTCCTCCTTGATATCTCGGCGGCCTTTGATACCATTGACCACGGTATCCTCCTGGGGAGGCTCTCCGAGTTGGGAATAGGTGGCCTGGCTTTGTCCTGGCTCCGTTCCTTCTTGGAGGACTGTCCCCAGAGAGTACAGCTTGGGGAGAGTGTCTCGGCCCCATGGATCCTCAATTGTGGGGTTCCACAGGGGTCGATTATCTCCCCAATGCTGTATAACATCTACGTGAGGTCGCTGGGAGTGGTCATCAGGGGGTGTGGGGTCAAGTGTCATCAGTACGCTGATGACACCCAGCTCTATATCTCCTTTTTGCCAACCGCAGGAGATGCCGTTCTGTCCCTTCGGCGCTGCCTGGAGACTGTACTGCAGTGGATGCAGGAGAACGGGCTCAGGCTGAGCCCGGACAAGACAGAGGTGCTGAGGGTGGGTGCCCCCGCAGTTCGGGATTTGGGAAATTCCCTCTTTGGGGGGGTGACCCTGCCCGCCAGGGATACGGTTCACAGCTTGGGGATCCACCTGGACCCGGCGCTCACTATGGAATCCCAGGTGGCGTCGGTGGTCCGTACCGCCTTTTTTCATCTGAGGCGGATAGCCCAGCTGCAGCCCTACCTTGATGTGGGGGTGCTCACCACCTTGGTACATGCGCTCGTAATCTTGAGATTAGACCACTGTAATGCGCTCTACGTGGGGCTACCTTTGAGGCTGCTGCGGAAACTACAGGTGGTGCAGAATGCGGCGGCCAGATTAATCAGTGGGGTGAAAAAATATCAACATATCTCACCCACTCTGGCTGCTCTGCATTGGCTGCCCATCCGTTTCCGCATCAACTTCAAAGTGTTGATGCTCACGTATAAAGCCCTAAATGGTTTAGGGCCTCGATACTTGGCGGAACGTCTATTCCCACCAAGATCTACCCGTGTCACTCGAGCCAGCCAGGAGGTGAGACTGAGGAGCCTAACGCCGAGGGAGGCCCGGAAGGAAAAGACAAGAAATCGGGCCTTCTCGGCGGTGGCTCCTCGCCTCTGGAACAACTTACCTCCTGTGATTCGTGGGTCTCCCTTGCTGGGTATCTTCAAGAAGCAATTAAAGACATGGTTGTTCCGGCAGGCCTTTCCATCATACACTTTTTGACCCCCCTTTTCTCTTCCTTTTGTCTGATTTATGTATCACATGATTTAACGTAGTGCTTTTATCTCTTAGAATTGTTTATTTACATTGTCTTGTATTACTTTGATGGTTGTTAGCCGCCTAGAGTGGTCCTTCCGGACCAGATAGGCGGGGTATAAATTAAATAATTAAATAAATAAATAAACAAACAAACATGTACACTATTCCACTAACATTGACAAGATTTCTCTAGAGCAAATGTGTAAGTAAATTGTGATTCTACCAACTGGAAGTAGTAACACGTTTGATTTCTCACATTTATGTTCTAGTTTCCCCCATATGCAATTGTATTCATTTTACCCTCACAAAAGCAATATAAAGTAGTTTAAGCTGAGGAACTAACTTGCCCATATTCACCCACTGAGTATCATGGGTCACTGGGAATCAGAGCCTTGCTCTCCCAAATCCCAATCTTTACACTTCAATCACGACACTACACTATACCGATTCCCACTTTGATTAAAAGTAATGCCTCTAACTGTAGGCTTATGGACACTGGGGTCCCACTGGTGTAACAAAGCTCCCTCCTGTGTACCAGAACACTACAAAATGTGAAAGGCCTATGATGCAGGCACCCTTTTTCCTAAAGTAGCCACTTAAAGATTCAAAACAGAGGACCCTGGGAAGCTGAAGTTTTCCAAAACCAGTTTCTCAGTGAAAATAAATCTGTCAGTGTTGAAAGGGAGAGAATGTCTCCCTTTTAACCCCTCCTCCATTTTAATGTTGGCAACATGCTGAGACAGACTAACATAGTTATAGTGAAAGAAGCCTTCAAGTTAATTAAAAAGCCATCCGTGTTCTTATGAAGCAGGATAATGTCAGCAATCAAAACAGTTTTTAAAAACGATCCCCCTCTTTTATTCCTACTCCATAAGAAATATCTAAAGAGAACATATGGCCACATCTTAAAGTTTAATCTTACCAAAGTATTCGTTGATGCCTTGTACATCTTCAAAAGCTTTGTTTGTTTGAAATTGAGTCTGTAATTTTTTCTTTCCTTTTTAAGCAGTTTCTCTACCTGTCGAGTCAGTTTCATTTTCGGCTTTAAACGGACCCTGTGGTTGCCAGGATGAAAAATCTGGAAACAGTAACGGCATACTTGACTGGCATTAGCTGGGGATTTGTCTGCAAAATAATTTTTAAAAGTCTGATAAAATAACATCAACTTTTTTGATGATTATACAATTTTATACATTGTATAATACATTTTGTGAGCCACCTTAGGTCACTCGGAGAAAAGAAACATAACAATCAAAAACATGTACATGCCTACATAGAATTTGCGCAGCACTGTAAATTGGAATTCTTTAGACCTGGGGTTTGGATTAAACTCCACAATATCACAATGTGATGAGCCAAATTTTAACCAACACCTTCCTTTAGGTGTGACACATTCTATGAACTAATATCTATCTTGGAAACACATTTCCAGGCTACAAGGAAACAAGTCCTCCTCCAGGCATTTAAAAAAAAATAAAAATTTTTTTGGCATGGCTGGTTTGTACTGACAAAGTATATACCTATGCAGAGATTACAATGAAACAGAGGCAGTAAAGCATAGTCCAAAATGTTCTTCAAATACAGTGTTTTAGGTGTACTCGTCACCCTGGACTAAATAGCCTATAAAGTGTTTATTTGCGTTTTGTGAGTAACAGACAATACTGTGTTTTTTAGCTCATGTCTTTCTTCTAGTCTTGTTCTGCATGCAATAACGGAAACAAAGTTGGAAATGAAGAAGGAACCTGGCGTGTAGTGTTCTAATGTTGCTGTGACCTTAAATTTATTTGTGCTGCCTTTCCCAAGACTGCTAACTCCAGCCTCCTATAATTTGAATGAAATAATACAACTAAAATATTGATAACAATACATGAAAGATTCCCATTTTTAAAAGTGAATAATTTGCAGAACCTACTGTCATAGCAAAATGTTTTCAGAGTTCATACAGACCCAGTGAGATAAAGAAAACAGAAAAATAACGATCACAAAGCCTTAAACCTCTGGATATTGTAGTAATAGTGTATGTATATGGCAACCCTTTTATTGTTCTCAGCTGTCCCAAGACAATTACCTTCTGTGTGGTTAAGTGTCCATCTGTGGGAGAGAGACAAATAGAAAGTATTGTCTACACCTGCCAATTTCACTAAGATCATACACAATTACATTTCTTGAGCTCTCAAGGATACCATTAACTGCTTGTAAAACTTGCTTTATAGCAGAACTGAGGATAAAAAGGTAGGAGAAATTGCTCCTTTTAGTTTATCTAATAAAAGTTAATCCAGACTGTACAGTAATCACTCATTGGCTGAAATACAATAGCAAGTCACAACTAGAGTAGGCCCATTGAATTGGGGTGAATCAATGCTCCATAAATTCCACTGCTTCAATGTGCCTCCTCTAACTGCTGCTAGTAGATTTCACTCCATATATCCTGTCAGATTGGTTTGGGCCATTCAGTAGAGATGGGATTTTCAGAATTAAAGAAGTCTCAGTCCCATAGTTTGGCAGAAACCTCCCAAACTGAATCACAGGATTGGGAATGCTCAAACTAGCACAAGTCAAAGCAGCCCTCTCACTCCATGCCATTCCCACACCACTTCTTCAAAGTGCCCCGCAATGTGGGAGTCAGGAGGGTTTCCTGTGGTTCTCAAAAGTGCACGGAGGAATTAGCTGCAATGGAGGTTGCCTCCATATAGAATGTACCTCTTTTCATACTGAAAGTAGTAGCATTAAATTTAACATTACATGTCAGTGCAGCAGGCACAATACAATAAAGGGGGTGAACTTTTACACATAATTTATTATTTTAATAGGAGAATTATACATATGGAAAAAGAAAAGGCTTGGGGCACTTGTAAGACTAACAGATCCAGTTTAATGTGGGTTTCTATAGATTACAGCCTGTATCTTTAGACACATGGAATACAACATTAAGACCAAAGATTCATACAGAATGTACATTGGGACCAAATGAAATTGGGTGCAGAAAATGACACTTGCATAATAAATATTGGTACTAAACTTTCAAAATGTTCATTACATACACATCCTAGCAGCAGACAATTAGTTAATGCAAACCATCTGTCTGCTAATAGACATTAGTCTTTGAAAAGCTGATGCTGCGAATGCTGCTATCAGGAAAAGCTTGAAGTCACAACTGTACCAAAGGGAACCCCTCTTTTTTCTTTTTTTTTGCTACCCACTGTATTATAGCAAAAACCACATTAATATACAGTATATTGTGTGTACAGTACTAAGAAGTCCTGGCCTCTATTTAAGTCTCTAGATGTGCAGCAGAATTCCTGCATATACAGTATCTTACTTGAGTTGTCTCCCTCTCAAATAAAACTATTACCAAAATCTAATAAAGAAAAGAAGGACAAAAAAAAGCAGATCTCCATAGTTGTAGGTACATGATAGTTATAATTGCAAGTGAGGTGGGAAGAGGGAAAGGGAACAGAAAAGACTGCACTGGAACTGTCATTTGCAAACATGGCCCTACAGAAACCGAGCAAGGAAAGGAGTCAGGAGCCTCTTACGCCAAAAAGCGTGCTTCGCCCGGGCACCCATCGACCAGCCGGTGGGCGGCAGCTTGCAGGAACTTGCGCCGGCTGATCTTATTATCATCCACATTCTCTTCTTCCTGGGTTCAATAGTGAAAGGGGAAGACAGGCAGTTCTGTTAGTGCCGCCTCCTGATTGCAAAAACCTCCTCATTTATACTCAGTAATTAAACTCTGGCAGCCCATAAAACCTCCCCCCAAAACCATCACCCACCGACCCCAGCAAGGATTTCTGCCCTGAAAGCCTCTACGGATCAACCCACCCAATGGATCTCACCATTCTTCTCTTTGATCCCTAATGTTTAGACGTCTCAGCGGCTTCCCTACTAGATCCTTGCCCCCCGCAAAAAATTGTCTCCCCGCAAAAAAGCCGATGAGCCTTTTCAGCACCTTCGGAATCCACTTCCCCAACTTAAAAAGAATGGCCTCTCCTGTCCTCACACAGCTTAAAACCACCACCACCCCGACCGAACCACCGGGACAGCAGCCTGGCTCTTCCCTCCCTGCTCCGACCCACCCCGTTCGCCCACCTCGCTCCCCTGCGCCATGCTGAGGCGCCCGCTCTCCTCCCGGCCTCTGGCCCGGTGTCGCCGCCGGTCTTTTCGCAGAGCACCGGAAGCGCGGCCACGAGAGGGTCAAGACGCTCCTGAAATGGAGGCCGCGCCTCTTCCGGTTAGAAACAGCGACGCCAGCGCCACCACCACAGTCTTGTGGGCAAAAGAAAAAAAAAGGAACTGCTCGCCTAAAGTAACGTTTAGTACTTACTGCGGAGAAGTACTGTGTACAGGGTTGTGGGGTGTGTGTTTTTTGGGAAGCACCTCCACAATTCTAGGAGCGCCCTGGAGAATTCTGGGAGCTGTAGTTCAAAAAAAGCACAACTCTGCACGCCTCTGGCTTAACGAGCGCCTTATTAAAGTCAATCGCCCTTTGAGAAATAGCCGGGCAATGGAAAGCGTGGCGGCTTTATTTTGCTTGGTGAAACGGTGCCCGTAATTCAACCTGATGACACGTCGTCTTTTTGTTCCTGTGCAGTTCAGTAGGGCTGATCCTTAGTCGTGGGATGATAGCCCGGCATATTTTAGCTCAGTGTTCAAATACAGACGCCCTTCTTTGGAGGGCTGGACAAGGGTCGTGGAATGTGCGTAATCACATGTGCCTCGCCCTGTTGCTCTGTTGTGTTCCCAGTATCAGAATGTAAGTCACAATTCAAAGTAATGTTTTTTTAATTAATAATTTACATTGACGCCAAAAAATTGTTATTAATGTTGTCTTGCAACATTTTATTTTTATATAAAAATGTAACCAACAGTGAAAAATAAGAGGAAAAAGTCTAAAGTTGCTCCAGCCTGGAATCACCAAGTATTTACAGTCTGAAAATGGTAGTGCAAAATACAGCTCCTGTTTAGCTACATACTTCATCCTTTGAAATATATACTTTCACGAGTAATACAGTACTAGCAAATATGCACAGTGTAGGAAATGAATAATGAAACATGGGAAAGCTTTAATATTTGTGGCTAGACCGTGCCACTGCAGCTGAAATGGCCTTCTTGTTGTTGTTGTTTAGTCGTGTCCAACTCTTCGTGACCCCATGGACCAGAGCAGGCCAGGCCCTCCTGTCTTCCACTGACTCCCGGAGTTCTGTCAAATTCATTTTGGTAGCTTTGGTGACACTGTCAAACCATCTCATCCTCTGTAGTCCCCTTCTCCTCTTTCCTTCACACTTTCCTAACATCAGGGTCTTTTCTAGGGAGTCTTCTCTTCTCATGAGATGGCCAAAGTACTGGAGCCTCAGCTTCAGGATCTGTCCTTCCAATGAGCAATTAGCGGTTGATTTTCTTCAAAATGGATAGGTTTATTCTCCTTGCAGTCCAGGGGACTCTGAAGAATCTCCTCCAGCACCACAATTCAAAAGCATCAGTTCTTCGGCGGTCAGCCTTCCTTGTGGTCCAGCTCTCACTTCCATACATTGCTGCTGGAAAAACCATAGCTTTGACTATGTGGACCTTTGTCAGCAAGGTGATATCTCTGCTTTTTAAGATGCTGTCGAGGTTTGTCATTGCTTTCGTCCCAAGATGCGTCATTTAATTTCGTGGCTGCTGGCACCATCTGCTGTGATCATGGAGTCCAATAAAGTAAAATCTGTCACTACCTCCATATCTTCACCTTCTATTTGCCAGGAGGTGATGGGACCAGTGGCCATGATCTTAGTTTTTTTGATGTTGAGCTTCAGACCATTTTTTGCACTCTCCTCTTTCACCCTCATTATGAGGTTCTTTAAGTCCTCCTCACCTTCTGCCATCAGAGTGGTATCATCTGCATATCAGAGGTTGTTATTTCTTCTGGCAGTCTTAATTCTGCCTTGGGATTCTTCCAGTCCAGCGTTTCGCATGATGTATTCTGCATATACTGTAAGTTAAATAAGCAGAGGGACAACATACAGCCTTGTCGTACTCCTTTCCCAATTTTGAACCAATCAGTGTTTCCATATCCAGTTCTAACTGTTGCTTCCTGTCCCACATATAGGCTTCTCAGGAGATAGATAAGGTGGTCAGGCACTCCCATTTCTTTAAGGACTTGCCATAGTTTGGTGTGGTCCACACAATCAAAGGCTTTTGCATAGTCAATGAAGCAGAAGTAGATGTTTTTCTGGAACTCCCTGGCTTTCTCCATAATCCAGCGCATGTTAGCAATTTGGTCTCTTTATTTGAGCAGTGGAGGCCTATACATCTTACACATTGATCAGCCACAACATTAAAATCACTTGTCTATTGTGTAAGTCGCCTCTGTGCTGCCAAAACAGCTCTGATGTATCAAGGCATGGACTTCACAAGAACTCTGAACATGGTATCTGGCAGCAAGACATTAGCAGTAGGTCCTTTTATTTATTTATTTATTTATTTATTTATTTATTTATTTATTTATTTATTTATTTATTTATTTATTTATTTATTTATTTATTTATTTGATTTATATCCCGCCCATCTGGTCTGGTCGAC